GACAAACATTCAGTGAATAATACAACCAAATCAACATGTTAGAAGTGATGCAGGACAAATGGTCTAATTTCTTAATTAAGCTGCAAGGTAAACATTAATAAAGAGGAGGAAAGACTTATTTCAAAGATGACTTGAGAGACATACCAAGTAATTGCAATGTTTAGGTTTTATGGGTTCCTGATTAAATGAATATAATGTAAAAATTTTAGAAGACAATTGACGAAATTTGAGCACTGACTGGACAAACAATAATATTAGGGAATTGTTAATTTTTGTGGTGTGATAATGACGTTTTAGTTATGTTTTTAAAAGCCTTTTTCATTTAGTTTCACACAGTGAAATATTTATAGATGCATGAAATGCTGTTTAAAATAATCCACCCCATGTGAGGAAGGGGTGGACAATAGAAACAAAATTGGTCATGAGCTGTTTTAATTGTCTCACCTGGGTAGTGGACACATGGGATTTATTATACTATTCTCTCTACTTTTACGTATGTTTAAAATTTTCCAAACTTGAAGGTTACAAATATAGCAGAAACCACAATGAACATGAAGCTCAGCATTTCAGAGCTTAGAGGTGTGTGGGGTTAGGGGAAATGAGATGAGATTTTTAAGGCCCCAAACTCTAAGTTTTCTGAAGAGTACAACCTAAGGCTTTCTATTTGCTTTTACAGGTTGAGTGAAATGTATTTCAATTATGAGACAAAGTTTGCTTTAGAAACACTTCGAGAAGAAAAGCCTGAGTTGACCATTGTCTTTGAGCCTTCTTGGTAGGGATAGAAACAGGACTGCCAGACTCCAGTGTTCTCTGGCCCCCGCCGTCCAGGTGTGCACAAGTGGAGTGAGCCCTCCTCCCACCAGGGTCAAGGCCACAGTTCTGTGATTCTTCTGGTCCAATGTCAGAATGCAAGCTTGCTGATGGTGCCTTTATGTAGGGACCTGGAACATCTCCTCTACCACAGGGTGAAGACACCAGGACAATAAAACCATCCCGATGCTGCTGTTTTCATCACAGTGCCTCAGTAGGAGAATGTTCCTGTTGGTGACCTCATATAATTAGCTCATTCAATAAAACACTTTTTCTGTTTGTGTTTCTTTTCTTGCTCTAACTCTCCCTTCCCTATTTTTTTCCCCCTTTTTCTGCTTGCTTTTGTTCCTATCATCATTTCTGCTTTCTATAACTGACTGTAATACAGAACTAATTGACTCTGTATAATGTTGCAGTTTTGTGGCAGCTACTTATTTATTTTTAATTTTTTTGTAACAGTTATATTTTCTAATAAAAATAATTTGTGCCTGTTGTAGCTATTTGAAATATATAAACTTTTTTCTATTTATTGAGTGAAATGGTTTCCTTTCCTTAATTTTGAAAAAGAGTGCTTAGAAATCTTTTAAATTATTTGTCTAAACTGCTAAAGATAAATTAAATTGCTATGTACATTTTAAAAGTCTCTTTGCCAAATGATTGAATTGTAGTTAATGAAATAAAAATCACCTCACCCTAGCTCTCATGGGTGGAATTTCAGCTCTGGCAGGACAGGAGGGTGAAAGTCATTCAGGGTAATGTTTTAGAGTAGTAGACTTTGCATTCAGAAATAGAAATATTATGTAGAAAATGCATCTTGGCCTTCAGCTGGTAACAACTTATTTAGGATTTATCCCATCTGAGGCACATTTCATCTACCATGCTTCACATAGCATGAAATCCTGAACATTGATTAATTGCATCACTATACATGGACAGCTCTTGAACCACAGGGAACTGTTCAGGATGGAAATATTGCTTCCTCTGTTCAGTGAGCGATCCAGATCTCTGCTACTCGAAGTGTGGCCAATGAACTGTTGATGTAAGAAGATTGTGCAAAAATGTAAATCACATTAATGAACATACTTTCTAGATAAGCTGACATTTAAAAAAATAGTAAAACTGTCTTAATAAAGGAAACAGTATGTGATTTCCATTCTGGTGCAAACCCTTTGTCTTGTCTAGGACTTTTGAGTAGAACTTTGGAGGAGTACTGATCTAGATATTTGCTTTCTACATCTTGGTGAAGTGAACTATTGCAGACTGCCTCCCTGTTACGGACATGTCAACATGCTGGATAAATAATGTAATTAAAAACACATAGATGAGCTTGAAAGAGAAAAAGAGAATCTTTGAGCTCTAGGAAATTAAAACCAGCTTGAGAAGCTTAAGAGTCTTATCTTTTTAGAGGAATATCTGAATAAATAAAGATCCTACAATATGACTTTTGAAAAATTCATGAGGTTTTCCACACTATTAGAACTAAAAAAGTGAGGTTGCTGGATAGAATATCAATCTACAGACATCAACAGCATGAAGTTGGAAAAGAATCATTTCTTTCAACCACTGTGGTGAAGATTGGATCAGGCATGAAGCACCCATAGATGCTAACTAAATCTATAGGGACATTTTAATGAGCAGGATACTTGTGTAGTCTCAAAGGCTCTCTCCATGGATAGTTAATTAGTTACAAAAGACAAATAGTCACTATATGCAGTGCAGAAATTGGACAATACCTTCATATAATAAAAAATAACATCAATAAAAAACATCAGTGGAAAAAATATGTACCCATTGATATCCTCACTTACATTAACAGAGCTTCACTTCTGTGAAGATAGACCTAATTTTCCAACTAAAACCCCTGCACTTTGAATGTAAAACATAAGATTCTGAAGTAGAAGGAGGAGGCCCAGCTGGGAGCTCAGTACCTGAGGAATGACAGGTGAAGTCTCTGGTTTTCTTTTTTTCCTCATATATGCCAGACTTGGAGCTGATGAAGCTCTTTTCAACAAATAGTATAGGATCAATTGGACATCCATTTGCTAAATAAGTAGACCTTGACCTCATAGTTTATGCAAAAATTAAATGGATCATGGATTTAAATGCAAAATGTAAAACTATAAAACTTAAAAAATGGAAGAAAACCTGAGAACCTATATCTTGGTGA